GCGGAGCATGGTTGACATTGCAGTAGGACTCGTCCAAGAACACTTCGGGTACAACAGGCGAACCACTCAATGTCCGTCCGGTTCGACAACTTCTTGCGAAGATACGTTGCCCTGAAAGCCACGTTGACGGTTGACTCTGCGAGGTAGCATCGGCTGCGGCCCTTTTGAAAGCAGTAGCCAAGGCGACTGAGGACTCGCCTCATGGACGGACGGCAACGGACAAGTCATATTTGTCGTCCAGGTGGTTGCAAATGGTCATTGCAGTTACGGGTAGGCAGTTTGTGTTGGAGTTTAGTATGAACTCGCGTATCTCACCCGAGTAAGTTTCTGCGATCGAGCGCGGACGATGCCCCTTATTTCCTTCTCCAAAGAATGGGTCTTTGTGGCGCTGCCACTCCGTTATGATTCGGCTGATGGTGTTCGTTGAGAAGCCGAGGCGCTCAGCCACCCTCTGTCGCACGGGTGCTTGTGGACCCGTACTGTAGCCTTTAGCTTCATAAAATATTCATGGCATTTTACAACCAAGCACTTTTCGGCTGCTGAGAGCTGGTGTTTTTTCTTCATAACTCGTCGCACACTGATGCTAAATGTGTCCTGAAGTGTGCTAAATACTGCTGCTCTCACAGCCTACCCGCCACTCATCTTAGTATCTTGATATTCGTATTCCATCATATTTATATTACAATCCTTATTTCCCGTGCGCGATCCCAATTGGCTCCGACAAATAGTACTACACCTTTTCCCGGCCAAGTTGAAAGATTTTTCCATCCAAGGTGAATAATTTGACGTTTCAAACGTCAAATTATTCACCTTGGATAAAACGATTGGTGTAAAAACACACCATTTTCCATTCCAACATGAAATTTTCTCATTCAATATAAACTGCCTACTGACCATACACCATGTTCTCCAATTGGAGAGCCTTTTCGACATTCCGCTGACAGAACAGGACCTAACGGATCACCAAAGGTTAGTGATGCACGAAATCGACTCCTGGGCTGCGTCCTCAAGTAAGATCATGCGTCTCTCGAGGAATGTCCCGTACTCACCACGTTCAAGCATAGCGTCTGTGTGAAGAACAAGGTAGCTCTTCACGCGGGCCTTGAACACGCTGAAGCAGCTCTCGATCGGATTCAGCATGGGCGAGTATGGTCCAAGGCGCAGCAAGCTTATGTCATAGTGTTGGACAACACGACTTTCCGTTTGCGAATGGGCTGGCGCGTTGTCCAACACAATGACCATGCGCTTGCCAGCAAAGTGATCCCGCCACGCGTCCGACCTCTTGACCGACTGGTACAAATTTCAAAGAATTCCGCGTTCTGCTCCATCTTGATACTTCCGCGCTCCAACTTGTAACAGACAAGGCCCTGCTCCGCGGACACGGCACATTGAACTTGCAAGTTCGGCCCCTTGGATGGTGGCAGAACAACCGTTGCCCGCTTTCCCTTTTTGGCACGCCTGAAGCTCCGCTTGCAGTAGAGATTGAAGTTGGTTTCGTCGTAATAGACAATAAAGTCTCCATTGATTTGGTGCTGCTTAAGCTTCAGAGCAAATTCACGCCGCTTTTGCTTGTTGACGTCGTTGTTGCATGTCGCGGTCTCAATGCGCACTTGTTTACTGTGGAAAGCATGCCCAAAATGTGGCGGCTTATCGTCTGGACCGAGATGTTCGTGCCGTTGAAATCCCCCTCAATGAAACTTTTCATTTCGCGCAAGGTGTATTGACAGTTTTCGTCTAGGTACTTTTCGAGCGCATCGCGGATCTCCGCGGTGACCTTCTTCTGCCCCGTGCGAACGCCCCCTCGTGGCAGCAGCATCGTTCGACCAGAGTTGACGACCCTCCATGCCGTGGCATAGGACATGCCATTGTGCTGTGCGATAAGGCTCCAGTCATCGCCCCGGAGGTGTGCGTCAAGCACTCGCTGCTTCTCGTCGGCTGTTGGGCCTTTGCTTTTCTTCATTCGAAGACAAACGAATATGAACGTGATTTCATTAGTCGGTGTGGTTACCGCGCAATTTTGCGCGCCTTTCAAATTCATTTTGATTGGAACAAGGTTCATGTTGATCTGAACTTTTGCACTCCACATCACTTCCCAAAATTTATATTTTATTTTGATTTCACATTGAATGGAAAAATCTTTCAACTTAGCCGGGAAAAGGTGAAGTCAATAGCGTTCCGCTCCGCCATCAGTTGACCTTCGATACCTTCAACTGGCAATTTTTTTCCCAGACACTCGAGTGCACTCACTCGACTCTCCTGCACTCACTCGACTCTCCTGCACATTCTGCTTCCCCCTCGCATCCCTTGGACGTCCTGCGAATCTGACGAAGACTTTGTCCAGTCTAGTGAGATGAAGCGCACCGCAAGCGATGTTGGCGATCGGGCGGCAAAAGTGGCTCGCATCGACGGCCATGCCCTGGTATTTCCCGTCCCGAGCGTGCGGGACTTCTTGGCATCAACCACGAGCAGGAAGCGCTTCACGAAAGTACTCGATCCATTCGTTGCATCACCGTCACACACATCATTCCTTCGCTAGCCTGTGCAAGTCGGTGGCTTTAGCAAATACCCCGACGGTCGCGTCAAGTTTGATCAGTCTCTCCTGGTGAGCGCACGTCGACTTGCATGTACTAGCTGATGAGTTGGCAGAAATCCCTGAGGAACGCTGCGCCGTTGCACTCGGATTTGCTGGCTGGCATGGATACATACACAGAGCCACATAATACCGCGCCGCTGGAACACGTGATTGCCGCCGCGCTGCCAGAACACAGACGTCTCCATGACCACGCAACGTGTTCGCCACCTCCGCTGTCGAAGCATCACGTTGTCACATATCGAAATAACCTGAACAAGATCATGGGGGTGCGTCATGTCTTGGGTGCTTCAAGCGTTTGCACGCTGTGCAATGGCTTAGCTGCAAATGTAGACCCCGTATAATACGAACTCCCCTTACTCGATGCAAGTCCAGCGAACTCAAGGCTGCATCTATCTCAATGTGGTCTTGTCCGACCTGGCTCCATCGCGTCTGCCCGCGAGCTTCACTCAGCTTCAAGCGGCATATGCAGGTCGTCGATACGAAGAGCTTACTTCCAAGACGGCATCGCCTCGTGGTGGTGAGTACTGCGGGGTATTTTCTGTCTCGTTGGGGCAAACGAAGCTGCTGGTTGGAATCTCAACCACAACACCCATTGAACATCGAAACCACTCGGTAGATTGGAGCTGAGCTCGACGGGATCGACGACTCCGGTGACATTTCCAATCTCTACATCGAGCTCAAGACGTTTCGTGCCTTGGCGACGTCAAAGGATCGGTTTACATTTGAGCGATACAAGCTTCTGGCGTTCTGGATTCAGTCGTACGTTGTTGGAGTGCCGTTGATTCGAGTGGGGTTTCGAGACGATTCCTTTCGTTTGGTCAAGGAGCAGACTTTTCAAACCACTGGGTTGCCTCGGTACGGAGAAAAGTATTGGGTACGAACGACCTACTCCACGGTCACCCCCCATGGCACGCTTGTTTCATTGTTTGGATTAGAACCCCACCGTTTGCATCAATTTCGCCAACTCGTTTCTCACGTGGTTGGCTGAACAAGCCCTGGACGATCAAGTCGTGTACTTGATCGAGTACGACCCGCGCAACAAGTGCATCCAGCTAACTCCTTCGACCGCTCCACTATTTGTCTCTACTCCCTTGGTGGTCGAGAGCCATGACGATGGAGCGCCAGGCCAACACTGACACGTCAACGCCAACAGGACAGAATAAAACAGAACATGTACCAATTACCCTCCCCGAAAAGATCGAAGTTGGGGTGTGGTAGGTCGCTGACAATTCTTGTAAAGCGACACATTGTGGCTACAGGTTGATAATTCGACACATCACGACAGTGTTGACAATCACGAGAAAGGTCCAGATCACCACGGAAGGTGCTAGCACCACCATGGCCATCGTACCATTCAATGTGACGAATTGCATCAAGTGTTGCTTGGAAAGGCCATCACCGCCGTCATACTTTGTTGGAAAAAGAGGCGACGATGGTGAATCATCTTCTGTCGTCGTCGACGTGGGCATGGATTGCGGTGAGCGTTGACAGGTTGGACAGGATCGGGGTGCCGGCGACTCGTCAGGACTCGAGGGACGATCGTGATCATGCGGCAATGGACTCAACTCGTCGTCATCGTCGCATTCGCATTCGTCGTCGTCGTCACTCAAGTCTTCGTCGGACGAAGGCGAAAGAGGCAGTTGGGTCACACATTCGGCCTCGTGGTTCATGCTAGTTTGGTTCCAACGCTCAAAGTACATGCAAGTGGCCAATGCTGCCCTCCATGCTACAAATTCCTCTTCATTTTCAGCGCACAACGACCTAGTAGTGGTCTCAACTATTCAGCCGCCTGGCCCAACCGGTAAATTATTGATTCCACGCACCATGTAATTTTGCCAGATGAGATGCGAAAAGCATACGGAGTAGGGCTGTTGTGTTCTGGCGGCACGTCAAGCGTGGTTTTGGCCGACGATACGCGCAGCTTGGCAATCGCACCCTCCCTGCACATGTAAAATCGTTTGAGCAGTGCATGAATAACAGTTTGCCTACCTGGCCACAGCTTCTTCCTTGTCGTAATACCGCAAAATACCATGGGCACCATCGAGCGTGAACCACTTGCGATACCACTTGTACGTCGACGTAAACCCTGCTTTGATCAGAGTATGCCGCCGCTGAACAATCAAGGCACCAGCTTTAATGCAATACGCCCCACTTCCATTCGCCCACCCTGGGAACCAACATTGATTCATCAATATGAGGCGACAAGATACATTCAGAGCCAAACGGCACGAATTCAGAAGGGCGCACCGATTTTTGTCATGGAGCGGCTCACGAGGCGTCTCGGAGATATGATCATGGAATGGCTTCGCACTTGCTCAATGTACCCCGTGGGTGGTGGCAAAGCCGCCGTCGATTGTTCGACTGGATCGGTGGAGGATCCATTTGCAGATGCGCTGATAGTGACCCCAATCAAGAAGGTCAGTTAATTCCTGCAAGGACGAGAATCCCAATATCAACACCACCTCTCTTGTCAAACCAATAAAACCATCCGTGCGATCGGCCATTCAATATCACCAACGTATTCCCCACACTCAAATCCAAGCGCTGGTCTGGAAACGTACTGGTTGAACGGCAAAATGACATCAGCGCGGTAAGTAATCGTTTTGGAACGGCGCCACACGTACGAGTTGTCCCACGTGAGGACACACACGCCACTGGAAGGGCATGTTACCGTGCCTGGGCTCATGGCAGGAAGCAATGATGAGTGAGAAAGGATCGTTTATACCTCTTAAAGTTTGTTCACGGGAGTACATATGCAGGACGTGGTCGTGGTTGAGAATGATCGTGAACCCAACGTCGTACTTGTGGGCTGAGAACTGGAACGCTACGTCTGCGCCAGCGCAAGGAATTTCAACGCTGATTGAGTACGATTGCCCTTTGCAACCGTGTATGACTTGAGTGTGGACTTGGTGGTAGGGGAAGTTTACCTCGTTGGATGAGCACTGTGGTGGATTCACGGATTTCGTTGACATCGTCATGGTCATTCTCGTCATCGTCGGTGCCATCCGAGAGGGGGCAGTCGTCGAGAAAAGCTCGAAGCAAGTCGCATGAAGCAATCGTGTCGAGTGCAAACAAGTGTTCGACGTATCGTTCCAGTTCCTGGAGCCTCATGAGACATTGCGTTCAGCTTGAGTTGACGACAAGCACCTTGTACTTTTGCTCGATGTAACGACTGTCATATCGATTGAGTTTCATGGAAGGAAGAGGGAGAATATTGGCTCGGGGGTATTTGTTGCACAGCTACGGGTTTCACGTCAAGAGAAGCCCTTCTAACTTCTTAAAACTCGATACCTGCTTGTGGAAGGACTTGAATTGCAGGTACGTTCGCTTGACTGTACTCACATCATCCGCATCTGTGACGTGCATGATGAAAGTGACGAAGTACGGGCGGGTGTGGATGGATCGTCGAAACTTGCGTGTTTCCTGCTTGTCGATTGTGTGGCTCACGATACGACACGTCAGCTGCACCCCACGCCGAGAAGAGGCGGCGTTGTCGCCATCTATTGAAAAGGCATATGCATTTTCATCGCTCATCTTGCCCAAAGACTTGAACGTCCTCGCATCTCGGCGGGAGCTCTCGTTGTCCGAAAAGTCTTGCATTTTGTGTCTGCCCGCGCCGTTTCAACTGCGCCAACTCCTATATTATCCGGATTCAATTGTATCCGTATCATTGGGGAAATTCAAATTCTGCGCGCCAAAATTTTGGTCGGCATGGAGATGAGCAACGACGTCCGTGACGCGAAACGATGGGAGCTCATGTTGATGTATGCGGATAAGCGGCATGAGGAGGTGTGTGTCATATAACTACACGTTAGTCCAATGCTGGGTACTAGGCAACGGTTGTTGACGTCATGCGATGCTTCACGACAATGCGAACAGATATGCAAGGTATCCTCAGCCGCACGCCCAACTGGGCAAGCGTGCAGTACATGAAGATGGTGCAATGCATGCTGAAGATGATGGTCCTACTCAAGAAAGCAAATTCAAGCTCTTTTCATGCTGAAACCAATCTTTTTGTGCAATTCTGCGTTCGTGTGATCATGGATGCTGGATGTCCGCAATCCCTACTCTCGCAAGCCATGTCATTGCTATACGACTTGTGCGGGTCCACAGCTTCGGCGGTGGTTGCATCACTTGGACTCGGTGCATTTCAACGGGACGAGTCGTCGTCGGAATTTTACTGGTGAGTTGGTACCTCAAGCAATATCCTAAAGATCGCATGATTCACGTCGCCCTTCAGTGCGTGCCGAGCGTTGGTACAAGCGCCATGAAGTTTGGTGCTCGAATGGCTCTCCATTGAAGATTGTACTATGCGTAGAACGAATTGCTTGTTTGTTTGACGGGGACATTGACATCGTTCGAGGTCTGAGATGTCTCCACCTGCAACTTCACGTATTCACGTAGCTTGTTCACGCTCCTGTGGTCGATGGATCCATTTCGCTGCGGCTTGCAGACTTTGTGAACGAATTATTGATGTCAAGCTCGTCGAAATCACGTGTGATGGGCTCATCCATGATCCTTCATATTATCGTCGACTCAACGCATGAACAATGTTCAGTCAGTCCGCTTAACGTCTATTCTCACGTCCAATGTGTAGCCAAGACGATTCTGGACGTTCTTTTCGATTGCATTGATGTCGAAGACAACCCCCGAATCCAAGCACACGTTGTCGGTCTCATCTGGGAAGCTCTGGATCTGCGAAGAGATCTCATGAACAACAAGACTTGGTTGGCCGTTGCGCCTTGGCTAAGGCATAACAACACACTTGTGTCGTCCACGTCAGTATATTCTGCCATGAGGTGGCTCCTGAGCGATCAAATCGTGATGGAAATCAACCATGCTGTGGTGATTATTTTGTATCCTTCTTTTGACCTCGAACTCATCGCTACATAGCTGTCTGAACTGGTCTCGATGTATGTGGCGGAAGCACTTTGAGTAGTGCATGGAGAAATGACGAGATCGATGTAGCTACGTTCATAACAGCCAGTCGTTGAGTCAGCCAGTACTAGAGCTCATGTTTCAGTTCTTTCAAGACCATTACGGGTCAACTGAAGCCCAAGCGAGCGTTGTGTCGCTCTGTGTGGTACGCACCCAATGGTTCTAGGCGAATTCGGTTGATGCATCATGACCATCATCATTCTAGTTGCGCCGACACCAACTCGTACGGTCCTGGTCCCGACAGGACGGCATGGAGGGGTGGGGTGATATGTATTTTGTCGATGATAGGCGTATTCGAATGGGATGTCGCTGCCGACAGTCGTGGCTGAGCACCAGTTGGAAGGCTTGCGCTCCGATCGCCTGGAAAGTACATTGAAGCGCGAAAGCCAACTCCTCGTGCGGATGCTAAAACATCCGTTCATGCAAAACAGCCTCGTGCGTCGCTATCAAAAGTTCGAAAAACAACCACACTGCCTATGTTGCTACAGGTTGATCCATTTTATGTGTATGCCTAGGATGATGCAAAGCATGTTTGCCACGACGTACTCGACGAGCCGCGTGCGAAATATTTTATGTATGATCCATGCGTTTCCCAGCTTCACTCCAGTCGAGAACGAAACGAAAGGATCGGGCTGAGCAGTATTATTCAGGACCACGATCATCCATTCATGGCCTGGTGGCCTTGCTGAAAATGTTGTCGTGGAATGCTGTATCGCATATTGATGACATGAATTTCCTGGACCCAGTATCCGCGAGCCACATCATCATCATGGTGGTGCTGCTTGCAATGACAACTGCGCAGCCGTGGATGGTAAGCCGACCCTTGCAAAGGGGCCTCTACCTGGCATCTCCACCGGCGTGGCGGCAGAAACAGGGGCAATCCCTCGATCACTGGCGCTACGTGCGTGCCCCAAGCTAAAGAAAATGCACGCGACAGTCCACGTCATTAGTTGGTGTCTGGATATGACTACACTATACCGGCCCCGGTGTCCTCCGTCGCTATGATGAGCCGTGTGCCTGCATACCACGTCTGGGAAGAGTTGACGTGGCCGTGGCTCTCGTGGAGCTCTCCGACACCTACAAGATTTCAAGCTTCCCTCGATACGTCCGCACGCGGTGGCGTCAGGATCACGTAGCAACCGAACGAGGCGGCAGCGAGCGCGTGTTTGCTTTCGGCAAAATCGCCCCGTCGGCGAATATGTACCTGATTTGCCTGTCGCTTGCATGTCAAACCGGTGGAAGATACAGTTGACATCGCGACTGCCGATTCCGAGATAGCGAAGTGTTACAGTAGGTGGGACTTGTATGCAGCCAGCGCCACTTTGACACGGTTTACTTTCCAATTGATCATGGCTAGACTCGTCGTGGCGACTTTTCTTGCTGTGATGACCATCGCAATGGCTTCGTTGGTCGACTTGCCGCTGTGCGGTGGCCCCGTCATGTCGTATGGACCGGCTAAAGCGACATATCCTGCGCTGGCTGACGCGTTGACGCTGGTCGAAGAGCAACCGATCGCAGTGTGGTGGAGCGACAACAATCCCACGCATCGGATAGAAATCGACGCGCTGTTCGACCGATGCAATGCCTCGACCGTCCCGACCATCGTCGTATACGCACTACCGAACAAGGACTGCCACGCCAGCTACAGCAACCGCGGATTTATCAACTCGACTGAGCAATACACGGCCTTTGTCCAACAACTCGCGACACTTGTCGGGTCGCGACCCGTGATCTACATCCTCGAGCCGGATGCCGTCGGGCTGGCCACAGGCGGGGGCTGCGGCCAGGATGCAGGTTACCTCGACAACATGCAGAGAGCAAGCGCGGTACTTACCACCAACAACGCGAACGCCATGTTGTATGTGGATGTCGGGTACTGGATGCTCCAAACTGACGACAAAGCGCGGCAAATCGCGTCGGCTCTTCAAGTTGTCAGCGCCACCAGTCGACTGCACTCTGTCCGTGGAATCGTGCTCAACACGGCCAACTACCGCCCTGTATCCGAGATAACGAGTTTATGTGCCAGGTTGATCCAAGTGGCGGGCAACCCCGACTGGCGATGTGTGATCGACACTTCCCGGAACTACCAGACGCCAACGACGACGACGGAGTGGTGCAACAACAAGTTTGGGGCGATTGGAATCCCGCCCACTCGAAACACGGGGTTCCCTAACCTCGTCGACGCGTTTTTGTGGATAAAGATCCCCGGCGAGTCGGATGGGGAATGTATCAATCGCACCGCCATCGCAGGGCCGATGCACTCGATTGACGCGATGCCTGGTCCCGCCGCCGCCGTCTTCTTTCCTCAAGCGTTTCGGACTCTGTGGAACCAAGGGTACTTTGTCCAGAACAACCTCGCCCCCGTCCTCGAGCAGGATGCCGAAGCCATGGTCCTTGCCCAAGTCGAAAGCAAAACGCCCGATCTTGCGAGGCCCGACGGGTCGGACGCACCGACCACGCAGAGACCACATTTGCCAGAGGAGCCACACCCGTCAAAGTTGAACAACCAAGTCCCTCGGCCAGCAGCTGCAATTTTGACATCCAGCAGCCCCAACGACTCGGTCTTTCTCACTTGGGGCATCCATGGCACCGTCGTAGTAGCAGGCGCTTTGCTTGCTCTGTAGGGTGCCCTGCGAAAGCGACGACGGCCCGCACGCACCTGATACGTTGTGTTGTTCAAGTCGAGTACTAGTTATTCCGAATCACAAACTTTCCCGGAATAACTCTTGTGTTGGGTAGGTGAGGCTCGAGTGGACGAACAGGTCGAAGTACCTGATGGCGTCCATGGAAACTGGGAACCCAGGAGATCTTGTGGGGACGCAAAATTGGAACAGTTGGACTTGGCCTTGCCCGGTAGCTCGCTCGAGACGTCTTCTCTGTCTAAAGAAGCAATCCAGGTTTCGCGGCTGTGATCCATGGCCGCGTTCGCGTTGATATGGATCGATGTTTGAGTTTATGGGCTGTTCAACAGTTCTCCGCAAAGACTGCGAGCGTCAGGAGTGTGTACGATTCCGACGTGGCGCCGCCAGCGTCGATGCTTTGCTCGCCGAGCAGCGTCATCTTGGTTCTTGCACATAGTTGAGCCGTCAGCATTCAACAAAGGACGTGCATCTCAGCGAAGAGTGGATGCCTATTTACTTTACCAGATGCTCGTGAATGACAGCGAAACCTGCGCCACGAACGGGCGGCGCGCTTGAGGGCATTGAGTTGTCATGTGGGACAACATGGAATTCTACCATGGTGGAATAGCATCGTTGTCTGGGGAGTACTCGCCACAGCTGTGGCCTGTCGAGCCATGAGCGCGTCCTCACCTTCCAGTACGTCGCGCTTGAGGCCACGCAGGTGGTCCAAGGGACTACCATGACGAGAACTGCGATGAAGATGTGAATTGAAGTGACGAAAGTTAGTCGTGCAACAGGAGCGTGCGGCTTTGTGTCCTAGCGGTCGAGCATCCACCGGCAGCAGTGCAATAGCTGCAGGCTCCATGAACAACACAACACGGCGACTGCACACCACGGGGCCGGAGGATGCGTGCTCAGCTAACGTCGCTCGGGGCGTCTGTTGAGTTGAATGTCGTGTTGTGCAGCCAATGTGATCGCCAAAGTGCTCAAGATCTATCCGGTCGTGGCTGGCTTCAAGTGTGTCCCTTGGTCGTTGGCCTCGACAACCTTACGACGATAGTGCACGACGTTGATCGCGACTGCTGCTCCCACCCTCCACAACCAGATCGTGTTCCTCATCACGTGCGCTCCCTTCTGGAACCTAGATTCGACTTGTCCAACCCCATGGAGCCTTTGCTATTTATTCGATAGGCACATGCACTTGCCGTCCTCGCGTTTCGAATCCCGACCAAATGGGGATCGCTGAATCGATACAAGAGCCCCATACGCCTTGGCCACGACTTCGTGCGGACCATGTTTGCCCCCATTAAGTGTACGACGCAGAAACGTTTGCTAGCGGCGAGGGCCGCACACGTGGAGCCCATTTCAGTGCGTGCATGTGAGAGACCATCACAAGGTACAATGTAAAGTCAAAGGGATCGTTCGCTCCTTGTCGACGAAGTCCAATGCGCAATAAGTTAAATATCGTTATGTCTCATAGCTGGCACAGCAGGCTAGTTGATTGAATCAAGCAATGGTGAATTCTGCCGTGTCCATCGTGACCAAGACGAAGAGACCTTCCCGAAGCAACTCCCGCGTCGGATAAATAGGGAGGTCGATGCGGTTGAAGCACGAGTGGACTCTCGGAAACGACCCTCTTGTGTAAGGAATGCCATACAAATTGAACGGACACAATCGGCCGTCATTGCTCGTGAGGGCCTTGAACCCCTGCAACGGCACGCGAGACGATCCGGTCGTGAACTGGAGCAGCTTGGCCCGCTCCGACGCCGTCATGTCAAACTCGATGACGTCCCAGAACCAACCGACCACGTCCTCCAACGACTTGGACACGATCGTCGACCGCTTCCAGTCGGCCACGTCGATCTCGGAAAACCCACACAGCATCAACTCGAGCTCCTTGTAATCGAACGGCATCAGCAGCTCCTGCGGCAGCACGTCGTACAGGCCCTGGACCAAATGCTGTAGCTGCGGCGCGACCCGGTCAAACAGCAAGTACTGCACCATCCTGTCCACGTACTCGGCCTTGTTGGCGTTCGTGACGGCGATATCTCGTCCGCCAACCACAAGCTCGACCTCCGACCCGGCTTCGTCCACCGTCACACTGAACGTGAGCGCGAGATCGTCGACGTCGTCGCAGTCTCGGACGTACACGAGGCTCGAGTACACGGTCGGGTCGAGATACCGAATGTCGTCCATGGAGACAGGGTACCCCAGGAGCATCTTGAAGAGGGGGACGCAAAAGTGGAATGGCAGGACTTGGCCGTCGATGATGGCTCGCCCAAGAAGTCTTCCGACCGCGAGGAAGTGGTTGAGGTGGTTGGGTCCGTTGAGTGTGGCCGAGTTGGGCTGGATGAAGAAGGACTGGTCTTCTACGTTGGACACGAAAAACAAGCCTTGGTCGGCGCTAAAGATTTCGTCCGTGAGCAGCGTGTACCATTCCCTCGTCACGCCGCCGGCATCGATGGCGCTTTCGCCAAGCAGCGTGATTTTTGTTTTCGAGCACAATTGATCGACTTTCAAGATGACGAGCAGTTGGATCGATTCCTCAAAAATTTTGTTCCGGTACACCTTCATTTTCGTGTGTGTTGAATCGAGCGTCGTCAGCTGGTTGACGAGCCATGCAAACTTGAGCGAGAAGCTGAGGCTGCGGACGTACTCCAACTGGCCATACCACCACGATTGTGTCGATTCGCCACTGCCAATGTGAACGCCAGCAAATGTCGCGTCGAAGGCGAGCCACTTCAGCGTGTTTTCATCCTTCGTGCAGCTGACAATGTAATGGTTGAGAGTGGAGGGATCGGTGTGGTTGGCTTTCCAAAGAACGCCGGTCGTCGAGTTGTACTCGCGCATCCAGTCATGGCGCTCCCTACCACCAATCTTGTGACGAAGGATGTTGCGTTGGCGAGGAATACCTGGCACTGCGCTGCGTCGAGTTGAGGTTGTCCAAGGCCACGACAGTGCCGTCGGCCGTTGCAAACTCGGGTGTGACAAGCAGGTACAACGCTGCACGTTTCTAGTGAGACCATTGTCGCGAACACGGACGGTGGCTACCTTGGCTCGAACGACACAATGCACACTCGAGCTGGTCGGTCGCGTTTCGGAACCCGCAAATATTGCATCGCCACTTTTTGGCCTCCAACGAGCTACGGGTCGGAGCATAAGTTTCAAGGACACGGATCGTAATGAAGCGTACGGGTCTTCCAGGGCATCTCGCTGGAGCCCAGCCAAGTGGCCCACGTGCCTACAGACGCTCCATCAGTACATGGTGCCGTGCGACGGCATCGCACTCGTTGGGCAGCAATGGCACAGTCGGCTCTTTGTGTTTGGATCGACAGAAAATGATCGCACAGATCACAATCACAATCGTGCTACCGAGTGTGTAGAGCTGGTATCTCCCCAGGGCCGAGTCGAGTCCGCCTTGTTGCTGAGATGCCGACGACATGGCACAGAATCAAATGTGCTCGACGCTCGTGGATACCCTCGGGGAGTTCCAGTGAACACTTCCAGATGTTCCTCGGTCATGAAATTTTACTATTTTTTTGTTTCATGCCAAAAAGGCAATTCAATTTGACACCCATCGAAACATAAAGTGTCGCAGAAAAAAAGAGTCGTCGTTTCTCGCAACATCAAAGTGCACCAAAACATTCAAAGTTTTGGGTGCATATCCAAACGAGGCACCAAGGCGGGACAGAGTTTTGAACAACTGGAGTCTCCCCAACACGCTCGAGTTGTACATGGTGGTGCCGTTGCGATGTTTGAATGACCTCGTTTCGCTGTCATGCTTATGTCATGCCATTCGTTCGAACGACACTCGATGATGTGTTGGGCCGTCATGGCGCACCCAAGAGCTCCCCAGACCGAACGGGATCCTCGCCTCCTAGAGGCAGTATTCACACATGTTATGCAGAGTTGTCGCAAAACCGGATCATGTTTGGAATCTATGAGTCCGCTTGCAGAATCATGACATCGAATACAATGCACTTGGAGGGTTTCGATACTTGCGTCAATGGCCACGCATGGGGGGAAACCATGGCCGACAAGTGTGTTGCGGTTCCAACCATTCGCAATTTGTGCACTCTCGACAGCTTGAATACCACATTTCCTAACCGTGAGTCGAGTGATGCGAAGGACAACGAAGTTGTTGTATTCAGCGTCATGTACTTCGGGCAATACAGACAGCGTAGTCGGCCCATGATGTCTACGGCGCGCCATGCACCATTGTCGAATTCGGCCAGCGAGCTCTTCCAACACTCGATGCTTTTCACTTAGGTCGACGAACTAAGAGGCCATAATGCGATCGAAATATCAAGACAAAATCATCTCAAACTTCGTATGTGGATAGTATTATACATACGCAACGATCGTTTCATACAGGCAGATTGCGACAGAAAAATGTCCCCACGCAGCATCAAGAAATAGTAGCACTTTTAGCCAATGGGTGACAAAGATTTCTACGACCTAGTACATGATATCATGCATGTTTTGCATTGGTATGTACTACCGTGAACTACATGTGAACTGGCGCACAGTGGTACCGGAAATATTTTTTTAAATTCCACAGCGCAAAAAAATCAAACATATTTAACCAATCAGAGCACCCCTGATCTAAGCTGTGTGATTGGCCAAATCAAAATTCAAATTCGTGAATTTGATTCACCTTGTCACCTTTGGTCCCCTGATCAATTGACATGTCACCGCCCCGACCTGCAGCACGCCGCCATCAGCGTCGCTACACAGTGCGTCAAATCCGCGTCTTACTTCAGATCAATACATGAACCTGGTCGCTTCATCCTCGTTGTAACATAATATCGCAAGCATACTATAAATTCATATGATGTCATGCAAGCTGTACGTTGGAACCTTCAACACTGCAACAGCTTCAAAAACAATAAGAAAATAGCTCATGCCGTAGAGCTGCCGCTCGAAGCCCGTGTGGTACAGGATTGATTCCATGACGTCAATGTGCGTTATGCCGTATAGTCAGTGTGGAGTGGAACCTCAGCATTCGTTGAGGTATCCTAATCTTCAGCGAGATCACAAAAACTATTTCCTCTGTTTCATGTTACATTGAATGAACTACAGTGCGCGAAATAAAGATAGATACAGTCGGATTTCGTCCTCACTTGCCCTCCGTACTACAGATGCATGCAAATGAACTTACTCAATCAATTCGAATGGTCATTTCTGACAGACCATCATGAAAATGCAATGAAACAATGTTCCGTTGGCGAGATATGACATGTCAACTACGAACATCACCAAAATCACCGCGAAATAATGATAAATACAGTAGCGAAAACGAAAGATGAGAAACAAACACAATC